TATATGATCAACATTTTTATTATTCTTCCGAATCAAATGAAACAATTTACTTGTGTAGATTGTTGCAAATGTGCTTGGTCATTTTTTTAACCTTACTTTAATTCCCTTTCTGTCATCAACTGGGAAGAAAGGTTTCATGCCCATTGCTTGATATCATTCTTAAGCTGCCCAATTTAACCGCTTATGCAGTTATGTTTCTGGTTTGGAGCCATAATGACATTTTCAGTTAATTTCAGTCAGCTTGCCTGATTAATAACTTCTTTCAGACTGAAATAGGATTTGCTTGTTTTAATAGTTATGTTTGCCCTGTTGCTTCTTATGCTTTTCATCACTTGATCTGACGACTTCATTGTTATTGCAGATAGTTTTTTGGCGGATCCATCCATGGATACACATTGCATTATACTGTACAAAGTCCCTAAATCTCCATTAGTGTTGAGCTGAATGGCTTGGCCATTAATAGAAGTGACAGAGATTCTAGATGATGCTTTCTTCTCTCCTTCCTTTCCACAATTCTTCTGTTCTGTATTAGTATTGTGAAGAATTTATTTTTCCTTTTACATTATAGTTCTCTAAAGATATGTGCATCTGCTTAAGAATGGGTCATAAACATATGTGCAACTTCATGTTATGTTCTTTTACATTATGAATGCCCTAGTCCGGAGACTTGGTTCCGAAGGTGAAGACCGAAAGAACGTTCCTCTTGAGGACAACTGCTACTCAGACGGGCGAATTGGGTATCACAGTGTTTGTGTTCATCAAGGCCTTTCCATAGGCGACCCAATGACTTTTGCAGTCGATTCTTTCAGCAGAATCACAAACCCTTGAAGGACTTGGGGGCTCAACAAGCCCAAACAACCCAAGTTTAGGGCCGATTTGAGGGATGGGGGTGTGGGTGGGTCGCATTTTCTTCACTGACGGGGCGTCTGCCCGGACTTACATGAGAGGTTTGAGGAGTCTGGCTATAGATGATACTTTCTCTGTCCCAAAATAAGTGTCTCAACTTTATATACTAACTTTAGTACAAAGTTATATTAAGGTTGAGACACTTATTTTAAAATGAAGGGAGTATAATATACGATATTGTGCACCACAGAGGGTATGCTCTATGAGCAGCCTCATGCACCATGTGTGCCATTAAAGCTTGACCGAAATCTAAACATTGACATGGTCCCATAAACCATGGCACCGTCGGAACCTTGCTAGGATTTGCAGCTGACTGAGCCTGTGGTTTTGGTAAAACCACTGGCAATGTCGTTGTCAGTGTCAAGATCCCCTCGCTTGTACGCAATGATGGGCTCTTGCTAATCACTTGTGACGCACTTGTCCAAATCCAAATCCTCCTTCCTCTCTAATCTGGTACCACCAAATCTAACGATAAATGATTGGGTACCACGTGGCGATCCCCCGTTTGCCCATGTGAGGCGATGCGGACATGGAATGCAAGGCTGGCAAGAAGAAAACATCCACCCACCGAGTTGCCTCTTGATCAAGGAGCCGATGGTGGATGGAGGAGCCGCCGAGTGCCGCTGCCCTACGTCAACGTCAGGTGGTGCTTAAAGCGAAGGCCAACACTCGGTCTCCGTGCCCCGTTCAAGATTCCGGCGTCGGTTGCGTGCTGCTTGGGGGTCCATCACCAAGGTGAAGGGGCAATTTACTCGCTCATCCCCTCTTTGATTCGGTTCCCGGCCATCATTTCGTCTCTTCAAAGCTGCAGGCTAGGTGTTTGTGGAATTGCCTGCCTGCCTGCCTCCTTTGCAACTGCAGCGGCAGCGGCAGTGGCAGCGCCAGCGGAGCAAGGAAGGCTAAGGCTAGGGGGAGCAGCAAGGGAAGGACGACCATGCCGCGGGGGCTGGCGGCGTACATGGTGGACATGGTGTGGGCGGTGCTCGCCGGGTGGGTGTCGGCGTGCCTGCTGGTCGCCAACGAGATTGCCCGCGGCATGCGTGCCGGGGAGATCGGCCCCTTCATTGTGGGGTGAAAAAATCTCGTTTCGGCTCATCACTTCTGATTCATTCCTTCATGCAGGTGCTCTGCTCTGAATCTTCTGCTCCAGTTTCTCTCTATCTTTCCATGCCTTTTGTTTCTTGCACAATTTGGGATATCAAGCGATTACCCTCCCTCCCTGCTCTGTATCCTGAAATACCATACCCGGCTATGTGTTAATTTGCTCTGAGATTTGTGTTTGGCAAATCTATTCTAGCACGTACCTAACAAGAGCCTAATGAGAGACTTTATACAGACTAGTTTTACCTGGATCAGTTATGATGTATTAGGGAGAACTGCTACATTTTCCCAAGTCATTTCTGTCAGTCCTGTCAGACATACCCTTGTTTCAATCTTTTAGGCATTACATAGATGATGGATTCTGACATTTTGATTCCATTAGCTAGTCGTGGCTTATTAATTTCTGATACAATTGTCAGGAGGTAATAGCTAATCTACTGTGCTAAAACTAAAGGGCATTGCCATATATACTCAGCCCTGATCACCAGCTGGAATAGCTATTCCTAAAGAGCGTTAGCTTCAATCAGCAAACTGCCAAATAAAATGTGTCCCAAGCAGAAATATCACAAATACGGCCATGCCCTAGGCCTTCACAAGGAAAACTATACCCAAAATGCTTTTTTCTGGCATTAATTTGGAACCGCGTGTATCTAAAGCAACCTTTGTGTAGAAGGACAGACCCAGTGCATAGAAGCTCCCACACAAGGTGGGGTCTGGGGAGGGATTATAGGAACCTAGTCTTACCCCTGCAAAGTGCAATGCAGAGAGGCTGGTTCGAAGCCAGGACCTCTTGGCACAAGTGGGGAGGACTTCACCACTGCGCCAGGCCTGCCCTCTTAAAGCAACCTTTGTGTAGGCTTATGATAAATGTTATAATTATTCTTCCCAAGCAGATGAAACAATTTACTTGTGTAGATTGTTCCAAAATGTACCTGCTCATGTTTTCAACCTTACTTTAATTCCCTTTCTGTTGTCAAGTGGGGAGAACAGTTTCATGCCATTGCTTCATGCATCATTCTTAAGCTGCCCAAGTTCATGGCTTATGTTTCTGGTTTGGAGCCATAATGACATTTTCAGTTAATTTCAGTCTGCTTGCCTGATTAATAACTTCTTTCAGATTGGAATAGGATTTGCTTGTTTTAATAGTTATATTATGTTTGCCCTGTTGCTTCTTATGCTTTTCATCACTTGAGCTGACGACTTAATTGTTGTTGCAGATAGTTTTTTGACGAATCCGTCCATGGATACACCGCATTATAATGTACATAGTCCATAAACCTCCATTCGTGTTCAGCTGAATGACGTCGGCCGTTACCTGTAGTGACAGATTCTAGATGATGTTTTTCTCTCCTTTCTTTCTACAATTCTTCTGTTCCGTATAGTCATGTAAACATTTTTTTTTACTTTTTACATTATAGTTCTCTAAAAATATGTGCGGCTGCATAATAAGGAGTCATGTTATGTTCTTTTCCCCTCTTTAATTTATGATTATCAAGAGCTGCTCATACAATCCGCTGCATGGATAGCAACTCTGGAGAAAGATGGGAGAATTAAGATTGCTTGGAGGACTCTACTAATGTGGGCAACAAGGATAGGTACACCTATTTCCAGGACATGTAATGTAGTCTGTCATACGGCACTATATTGTACATACTGAAACGAAATTACAAGTTCAGAAACGGGGCGAGCTTAAAATACAGTACATGTCTTTGCCCTAGCCATCAATTTGTGTAACCTAATCAGGTTGTTTAAGGCCAGTTTGGCAGAAATGACACTGCTATGAAGTTCTCATTCCGTACATGTCAAAGGTATAGTGATGGTTTTTCATAGTAGGTTGGTTGTTCATGGCAACTGAGAGCTGTGAAGTTGCCTATACTGGACGGTCGTAATTGTTTGTAGACATCTGCAGATCTCTACAGATCTCTCAGCCTGGCAGTTATATCATCCACTGTGTCTGGCACCTGCAGGTACAAGGTTCGAGTGAGAACAGATCATGAGACGCATCGATGGAATAACCGATCTATCGTACTCCACACATACAAGCACAAGTTCAGCAGATCAAGTTGTGAGGGAATAACTCCACCCACACGGTTCGAATCCAAGTGCTCAAATTGCATGTACGCAAGTGCATTTTGGTACAAATTCAGTGACATGCTCTCATTTACCTATCAATTCTAAGCATGGAATTAGGGGATGTGTTCACGTGGGTGTTTACGGTGTGATTGTGCATGTAACTGCAAATGCCTTGTAGTTGAGAACAGAGTAACAATATTATGAAAAGGGAGTGGAAGTTCTCCAGCCTGAAGATCTCAACGCATGATGAAGGTTAGTACATATGTGCAATTCGAAAAATCCTAAAACAATTATGTTACTAAAACTTAGCGAAACATGCATCTTATGTTTGGTCAAAAAACATGATCATGTTCAGTGCAAGAAAATTTTGGCACAAAATGTATATGTACATGTACCATATCATGTTCTAGTATAGTTTTGTCTTGGTTTTTTAATTGTACAAGCAACTACTGTGAACTCGGTGGAGATCTTTTCATAGGTCGAGTACCATTCTAGCTGACCATACGGTCCTAGCGATGGACTGAATGTCAGTGCGAGGGAAAGGATAATGCTTCCCATCAATTCCTTCCTGATGCTTATGGAAGCAGGTTGAAATATTGGAACTACAGATACTTTGTCATGATCAAATGGAGAGGAGGGACATTGCATCAAAGGCATATGTGTTACACAACAGTACTGAGCAGGATTATGTGGTTAGAGTTCTCAGAACATGGTTCAACGATCAATTAAAACAGGCTAAAATGTGCCTGGGTGGGAAATATGCACAATTTAAAAGCCTCGGAAATATTGAGCTGGGGAATTTCAGGAAATATATATTCAATTGTAGGCAATGGTAATTCTTGAGAAGAAAACATGCACTAGCCAAGAATTTGGCTAATATAAGAGCGTTTAGATCACTACTTTAGTAATCTAAAACACTCTTATATTTCTGTACAGTGGGAGTAGTAATTTATTTCCACTGTGGTGATTAATATACAATCATAAGGAAATTAAAACAGCAGGCTGTGCTTGCAAAGAAAAAACAAAGAAGTATAATTCTGACGACTGTTTATTACCTGAAAGAGGCCGTCAGGCACTGCAATACAACTTGGAAAAATGATGTCAACATTTTCTAAAAGCTGATGAGAAACAGGTGTTATCAGATGAATGCAGTCTCCTGGAATATCAATGGCCTTGATAAAACCTAAAATCAAGACCAATACCATACAAGAAATTAGCAAGTATTATCAGTTTACTTCAACAAAAACACTAAACAAGGCACATACCAAGTCCCATGCACCAAGGAGAGGAGCATTCAGTTGACAAAGGGACAGATGAACTTGATCCAATACCGACGATAGTACCGGCCAAGAAGTCATATACCGAATCACCGGAAATCTATACGCCCATAGAAACTATGTTAATAGACAGACCCCAAAATCAATGTTCTCAGCATTGATAGTCCGTACGAAATAAGTTTTATCTACACACGATGCACTGCCATTACGGGTTAATTTGCCCACACTGTTTTATACCATTTGGAACTGTAAGAAGTTGCTAAACTATCATTCTGTAAGTAGTAAATTATTCTATTCGTTTACAACTTGTTACCATTCTGTTGTAATTTTTTTCTTTTTTTTACCATTCTGTTGTATTAGACAAGCGGTACATATTCATTACCATTTTGGTCAAGAGTTTATCATATTTATGTAAAAGTAATAGCGTAAACATAAAGTTCTCTGCATACAAATGAGAAAAATTATAGGTACAACTAAGATAAGATTTGTGCACATTACTACCCTACCACGCGTGACCCTATGTACGTAGATATTTTGTTGGCAAAACAACCGTAGGGGGGAGGGCCCTACAGTTTTACTCATTTACTCCCTCCGTTCCTAAATATAAGTCTTTGTAGAGATTCCACTAGATGGACTACATACGAAGCAAAATGAATGAATCTAAACTTAAAATGCATCTATATACATCCGTATGTGGTTTACAGTGAAATCTCTACAAAGACTTACATTTAGGAACGGAGGGAGTAGATTGTAACCATAATTGAGTTCTCCTCGACCCTTTGACCCAAAGACTCACAATCCAATTAATTTTGATGAGTTAGCTCAGTATAGAAGCTTCAAAGGAGCCTCCAGTTACTAATCCAAGATATCATCCATTAATGAACACATCGGAAATTTTAATACCCTTGTTGATATTTACTATACATACCTTTTGTGGCTCTTTGTTAGCACTAGTATCAAAGGAGAATGCAAACCCAGCGTTGTTAAAAGCTCAATATTCAGAAAGTATGCATGGTAATTTGTTTTGTAGTTACGAAATACGGTTTGGTACGTGGAGTACAGAAAAGGAGGAAACTATCATGACATGACGACAATCATCACTTCGTCATATATTCAGAACAACCTTGACTGCTATATGATCAGAATAAAGAGGTGGAGGCGGTCACCTGGCTGTGTAGATCAATAACCTGTATTTTTGAAAGAGGGAGCTGAAAAGGGTCTATAGCAGCAATTCCTTGAACTAAATCTTCAGAAGAGAAAATTGGGAAGTCCCTCGGCAAGCACTGCCTGAAGTAAGCAATCAGCCTGAGATCACGAATAATTCGCGCCTCTTTCTTCACTAACAGACTGCAGTGACATAGGCATAAGTCATTAAAATAATTTTGATGCTATATCATTTCATGAAAATGAATTACTCAAAATAGTCAAGACTTACTGCCGAGGAGAGTTCTGCACTGCGCGAATTTCAACTAGATTAACTTGTGAATTTCCCTCGTGTGCATCCAGCCAAAATGCACCTCCTGGTAAGTTTTTACCCTCTGCTGTGGTGTTTAGCCGAATAACGTCAGTTGGGGATACGTATCTCAATATCTCTGACAGAACATGAAGTCCAATACCTGAAAGTCACACAGTACAATATGAAACTGGACGTTTGCAACAAAAGAAAGGGAAAATGCAGTCATTTAGTCACAAAAGATATTAGTATTACAGGTGAGTGTCCCATTATCCAAGTCAAAATCTGAAACTCATCTTATCATATTCCCCCCTCCAACCTTCCACATTAGCCATGTGAATTACCAGCACAAACCTTGATGCAATCAATGAAATCTCACCTTTCACCCACCCTGAAGTGTTGATAACAATCGGTATAGCTGATTTGTGAGGGTTATCAGCCTCATTGAAGTGATAGAGTTCTTTAAGAAAATAATCATAAAGCCCAAAAATGTAGCTCAAGAGAAGTTTTGGGTTCTTGTGTGCAGCAACATCACCAAAAAGGAAGCACCTAGGATATGTGGGGAAAATGTATTAGACAGCTTGCAGAAGACCATACATGAGAACACAATGAAATATCAACTGGTACATATGTTTATTTCAGTAAGTATATGATATAGATATTATTAATTAGTTCTATGTGATGGGCACTTAAACTACTGTGCTAATGATAAGACTCTTAACGGGTAAATCTTGCTATTGCAGAATTGGTAGAAAATCAAACTTCATAATGTTTGAGTATTCATAATATCTTGGAAGAAAGCAAAAGATTAATTTGACCCCTGAACGGTTAATAATATTGGAATAAGAAATTCAGGGAAAAATTGACAAATGAAATAGCTTTCTCACATACAGTGATCTATTTTAAATTAAGCACGGGATTGTTCCTAGCAACACCAAAAGGCAAATCAATGAGTAAATTGCAAATACTATATGAAATAATAAAAGACTGCACAAAACTAAGCCTTGTGAAATACAATTACCTCTTTGGGGCCCGCAGGTATAGCATTGTCAAATCTGAATTATCAAAAAAATGACAGAATGTTCAGCCAGTGATCAAAACATTTTAAAGGGGAATTAAAAGTTGAAGGCTCTGAGCCTGCACCTTTAGCTTGTTCCTCAAGTACATGAAGTGACACAAAACCTGGAGGTGTGAACTCAGGCTGGCCAACATCAGTATCCAGGTACGCCACCCTCTTATACCTGTTAATTAAAGTGAAAGAATCACAAGAACTGATCTGAAAGTAGGAAAGCTAATGACAAATAAAACAGAGCAAATCAAAAAATTCTGAGCTGAACAAGTTATGCAACTTGTGTGAACTAGCAGTTGAACTAGTTTATTCTCCCATAAAAAAAATGAAACTAGTGCAACTAAATTTACCAGCTAGCACCACATTTTAACTATATGCAACCAGACTAGTGCTGACCCCATAAAAACTACTACTATTACATTCTCATACTTCCCAAAGTCATAAAACAACCTAGAAAGTAAAAAGTATTGGTACATAGCTACTTCGCAATTGTTTAATCGATAAAATCAAAGCTCAATGGTCTTTTTAACTAACTCTAGTTTACTCTTTTCAAATGCAGATTCCTTTCTCACTATAAATATCAAATACAGATAGCATGTCAACTGAAATACTGAATTTGAAGATTTAGCAGAGTGGTATTGTTCCGTTTACAAACATGAATAACTCGAATTTAAAGTCTGCCTATAAAATTATTCGATCATATGCACAGAAGAAGAAGCAACGATCGACTCGGCGCGTAAGTACAGAAGAAGAAGCAACGATCGACTCGAAGAAACATTTAGTGCTTACATTTTAACAGCAGGCAACCATACTTCTGCTGACCCCATGAAAATTACTTCCTCACTACGGGCTGGTTGTGAGGTGGCATGTTGTGA